GTGTTTATGTCCTCCATTTACAGAGGGATTCTATGGTCCATTTGTGTTTAGGTTCTTCCACTTACAAAGGGATGCTATGGTCCATTTGTGTTTAGGTCCTCCACTTACAAAGGGATGCTATGGTCCATTTGTGTTTAGGTCCTCCACTTACAAAGGGATGCTATGGTTCATTTGTGTTTAGGTTCTTCCACTTACAAAGGGATGATATTATTTACTCCGTTTTGATTTCCCTCAAACTATATGGACATACAGCAACAAGCTTTTAATGTGCATTCATTTTAGAATTACAATTTCAGATTTGATATTCCATAAAATTATTTACATGGTCTTTAAAATTATTTTATGCTGTTGTTTCCAGATGAACTTTGGTATTTGATCACATTCATAATTTATATTGTGTAACAAAGTTAATTATTTTCAGTAAATTATTACTATGTAATTACTATGTAATAATTTGGTTTAATTTGCCTTGTGTGTGGCCTATTGACAATTAGTATTGGAATCCCTAATGGGATGAACATCTGATCCTCTAATTGCGCCATTTTCATATATAAAAATACGAACAAAAATAAGGATAAATTGCATTTATAACTTCTGTATAATAACTGTGTTAATTGATTTCACAGTAGTCTCAGATATTATATTGTGCAGTCATTCTCCTATGTGTTACAAGTCCTAAGTATGTAATAATGAGTATTATTTGAAGTGTCAATTCTGTTAAGTTAGGCTCAATTAAATCAATGATAATCAATGACTGAACATCTGTACCAAATGTGTTTAGCATATAAATTGACTTCACTATAAATTGTGCAAATATGGAAACAGTGTAAAGTTTTGAACATTTAGGTTTTCTGATCTTTGACCTTGCAGTGTGGGTATTTTCTTGCACCTTTATCACCTCTCTTATGTTTTGAAACTTTTTATATTTTTTTATTTGTTGCTACCTCATCAGTATCTAGTCTTTTTTCTGTGCTTTATGGCAAACTAAGTTACATATGTTAATAACAAATCAGTACTGTTTCTTAATAATGATAAGTCTCTGTGACTTACATTTCCTGAATTATTCGCATAGAATGACAACAGTTAACAATTTTTCTTTATAATTGAATTACTGTGACTTACATTTCATTTTCTGTCTTATTTTCATAGATTAACAACAGTCAATTCTGTTTCTTAACAAATTAGGTCACTGTGACTTATATATACACTGTTGTGGCTTATAAAGGGTTGTTATATTTGAATTATATTTTATCACTATCATCCTTGCAGACAAAGGCAACATTTGGAAGGCCTACTTGGGGTCTGTGAGAGACTTTGTATTAAAGTTCGTGTGTTAGGAACTGGTGATTGATATATCATTCACATTTTATTACCACTACAAACCTCTCCTAATATATCTAAGTTCTTCAACAATGAGGACACAATGAAGTAGGGTCACATTTTAATGCCTGTGTGAAAGTATTATTTGCACGGTTGTAGCTCATATATATTGCTAGGGAAACTATGGTTTCTACATAATTGAGGGCTTCACAGATTTAATGTTTCATATGCTTATAGAAACATAGACTATATATTTATCTTTATTGATTGAAAATTAAACCTAAGAATATATTAGTGGTATATTAAACACCTATAGGAGACAGATATTAGCTATGTACGTAAACTTTCCTATGAGAATATTGGATTAGAAATGTTAACCTTGTACTGAAAAAGAAACATGGTGACATTGTGTTTTGATGTGAACTAAAATCATATGTAAATCAGAAATTTTTACAAGTTTTTATTACAAAAATTGCAAAAGAATAGGTACTGCATTTTAATTTTTGATTGTTTTATTTGTATTCAGCATTTACTGAAATCACAATAACTAATCACACATTTTGTCTACATAAATAAAGGCATGCATAAACTTCTGAATTTGCCAATGCAAATGAGAAGAAGCTAAATAAAAAATAATTCTCTAATGGGTTTTAGAAGAAGCTAAATATAGCCCTGATAGATCAAAGAGAAAGCTAAGTGGTGACATTGGCACAAGAGGTGATAATCTCCCTTTAATGAGCCCCGTAAAATAGTCTTACTCCTGCAGAGAGAATTATTTCCTTCATGATAAATAGATAAGAACTGTTGAAGTCATCTTAGTGTTTTATTAATCTTCATCACAACAATGAATGCTGAACAATCTCAATAACTCAGACTCTTATCTTTCTGCCTATTAAATTAATTGGAATAATTTGCCTATTTCAAGTTTGGATAACAAAATATTGATAAAAAGAGAAAATTGGAGATAAATTTACTGTTGTAACAGATGTATACAATCCTGGACTTAATGTTATACAATTATAGATGTAAAAATTGTGTATTGTGATCTAGCAATTATTGGTAAAAAAACGGAATAATATTATTGCTGGAAAAATTAAACCTTATAATATATTAGTGGAATAATAAACATCCACAGGAGAAGGAAATTAGCTGTAGATAACTGTCATATGAGAATATTGGATTAGAAATGTAAATCTTTTACTGAAAAAAAAAAGAAACATGGTGACATTTGTATTGATGTGAAGTAAAATGTAAATGGAAAAAAAGAAAAAACAGTCTGGTGAGTTAAATACTTTGTAAACTTTTAATGCCCCTCCCACAATTGCATTTATCTGACCCCTGTCTGTTTTTTATCAGATTAAACAGTTATGCAGACTTTTTTCCTGCAGATATTGACCCAGTTATTGGTAAGCTGTTGCATAATGAGAATTTATAGGTGTTTTTTTTCATTCTGTTAGAAGATATTTACTTGTTTGCATATGTTCACAAATAGGTATTAATCTAAAGAAAAGAGAAAAAGTAAGCAGCATGTTACTTTTAGAATATGTTTATTTAGACAAATTGAATATTTAAAAGACTCAGATAAAATTATTAGAATGAAAGAGAGGCAGAGCAAATCCAATAACCATGCCCGACAGCCAGCAACCTATAACCTGTAACATGCAAATTAGTGATACTGTTCTGTTAAGGGATAAAACACATTTGAAGGACCTGCTTTCCTTGAGCATTAATTTCACTGGAATTGCCTTTGTCTGAACTTTTTAAACAGGGCATCAAAGACAAGGTGTAATATTGGCAAAAATTAAATGCTATTGTTTTTAAATGCCCACCAAGATGTGTGTAATATGGTAAAGTTAAAAAAATGAATATTGAAGTTTTCGTCTCATATTTCTCAGCTCTGTATGCAGGAAAGATTTGATATTTGGCCTGGAACTGTATAATGTTGAGTCATACAGTGTAAGCCATTTTCAGATCTGCCAACCAGTCACTTTCTGTTTGATGCTACTGAGCATAGAATTTTTCTCAGCTTCTATATTTGAATTATTTGATGAACCTTATGATATTGTCTTGTTACAGTATGCTTTTTGTCTTACCTGTGATGAAAGTGGTGGAAGGCTAGACATAGATGTTGCTTTTCCAGCAGCCACAACGTTGGCGGGGTCAATGATTGTTAACTTTTCTGCTTAAGTCAGTTTGATAGGTACTGCTTGTGATAGATCAATGATATTTTCTATAAAGTTGCATTACTATCAGAACATCTTAGTTTGACAATCATTTTGACACGCTAGCCTCTATTACATGGCCCAGCAACTTTGAATTAATTAGTATGTTGCTGTCCATCAGATTGTCTTTTTATGCCCCTGCCCTAGGCAATTGCGGCATGAAGTGTTAACCTTGACCTTCCTTCTGTCATTCTGTCTGTCTTTCCATCCTTCCATCCGTCCAATTTTTGTTACAGCATTATATATTTCTACTGATGACAACAGTGAGGTTGTAGATATGAAATACCTTTATATCTTATTGCAAATTTTAACTATACAGGTTATCCTGAATTTTTATAGAGGCTGAGACCTTCTTAGGCAATCATTGTCATGTGACCTTTTTAATTAACCTCATTTTCATGCTACTCCAGTCTGTTTAGGTTTAGGTGGAGTTTTCATTGTATGACTGTTCCTCTTAAAGCCTGACATCATATGCAATATTTGATATGTTAATACATGTATATATTGTCCCTCTGACTTATGTCATATAGCCTTGACACTTGGACTCGTTTCACATTCAAGTGGTTAGTTGAAAAATTTTCATTCCAGTTGTGCATGGCAGAAAAAGCTTTTGAATTAGATTATACTTGATCACATTATAATTTTTTACACAGTACCTGTTTTTGTGTTAAATATATTTAGCTCAAAGGGTGCTTGTTTTCAGAATGGGTATACACAAATAGATCTTTTAGTATTGCAGTTATCTCCCTTTTTATGAAGTTTAATAATTTTAGCTGCTTAGATATTTACTTAAGAAAGTAATATATCCCTTGATTTTATTGAAAGTTACAAATTATTATGTTATTGTCATGTCAAATTTATATGCCCTTTGCGACCCTTGATTTGAACAAAAATATTCTTCTTCTTAGAAAGCCCTAACTTAGCAAAGTTTGATTCTACTATCCTTCTAATGGAAGTACTATTTCACATGGACTCTTTAATACTTATTGGTAAATATTGGAGTTTCTTTCTAAATTGTCTTTGAATTAATATGAAAGGGTTAAAAACATTTAAAAAGATGTCTTCAATTGTTGATTTATACATGATTTGACTGTCCAATTGACCATCTATTAGCAGGTTATTAAAGATAAATATTTACTGCTACCATCACTTATCATTCACCATGAATTTGTAAATAAACACAGACTAGCCAGTGGTCACTTAAACATCAATTTCAGTTCTATGGAAGATAAAGTTAGTAGATAAGACACCTTCATCATGTTCATAGCAGTATATTATCTATTAAAAACCTGTGTGATCTCCTAAGTAACAAGTTATTACAATATTATATTGACCATGTAATAATCTCATGGTTTCAGCATACTTGATTCATTCTTAATAAAATTATGAGTGTTTCTGATTGCTTGTTGTTGGCCTGGATGGTCTGGAGGGTCAGTCTATGCTTGTTGTTGTCCTGGATGGTCTGGAGGATGTGTTTCAGGTGTCAGTCTATGCTTGTTGTTGGCCTGGATGGTCTAGAGGATGTGTTTCAGGTGCCAGTCTACTCTCTTGTTGTTGGCCTGGATGGTCTGGAGGATGTGTTTCAGGTGTCAGTCTATGCTTGTTGTTGGCCTGGATGGTCTGGAGGATGTGTTTCAGGTGTCAGTCTATGCTTGTTGTTGGCCTGGATGGTCTGGAGGATGTGTTTCAGGTGTTAGTCTATGCTTGTTGTTGGCCTGGATGGTCTGGAGGATGTGTTTCATGTGTCAGTCTATGCTTGTTGTTGGCCTGGATGGTCTAGAGGATGTGTTTCATGTGTCAGTCTTTGCTTGTTGTTGGCCTGGATGGTCTAGAGGATGTGTTTCAGGTGTCAGTCTATGCTTGTTGTTGGCCTGGATGGTCAGGAGGATGTGTTTCAGGTGTCAGTCTATGCTTGTTGTTGGCCTGGATGGTCTGGAGGATGTGTTTCAGGTGTCAGTCTATGCTTGTTGTAGGCCTGGATGGTCTAGAGGATGTGATTCAGGTGTCAGCCTGTGCTTGTTGTTGGCCTGGATGGTTTGGAGGATGTGTTTCAGGTGTCAGTCTATGCTTGTTGTAGGCCTGGATGGTCTAGAGGATGTGATTCAGGTGTCAGCCTGTGCTTGTTGTTGGCCTGGATGGTTTGGAGGATGTGTTTCAGGTGTCAGTCTATGCTTGTTGTTGGCCTGGATGGTCTGGAGGATGTGTTTCAGGTGTCAGTCTATGCTTGTTGTTGGCCTGGATGGTCTAGAGGATGTGTTTCATGTGTCAGTCTACACCCTTGGCACTTCTTAATTCAGTGGACAACAAGAAGACCAGAAACCTCTTCACCATTAGTTTTGTATTCGCCAGTTAGTGACAAAAAATAAGACTGATTGTCACTGTGATACCTCTTTCTTTATTTTATTTCCCCATTTAATCCAATTAAATCTTAAAGCCACTCCTGTGGTACTTTAGATATAGCTAAGAATATTTTCTGAAAGTTTTATTACTTGGCTATAAACAAGGCTCAAGTTTTACATTTTACATCTGGTGTTGAAAAAAAAAAAGATTATGAAAAGGAGTTAATAGGAAAATAATTATCCCTACAAACATGAAAGAAAAAAATTTCTTTGCAGAATCTTAAACAAAAACAAAGTTAAGTGGAGGAATTAAGAACTATGTTAATTAAAATGTAATTATTACAAGGACTAGTTGTCTAGATCAGCTTGCAGATTTCACCTGGTTTGTTTACTTAGGTATGTTGGTGAACATCAAACAAGGAACTGTATATTGGATGTAACTTCAGTTTGTCAATGGACTTGATGTCTGCATCAAACTTTGATTTGTTTTGGATGTTTACTAATGTATATAAAGTGTTTATGTAAAAAAAGGAGTGTGCTTATATTTAACTTTGAAAGACTGGAATTGATACAATATTTCTTCTTGTTGAGATATACACTGTTGATACTGGCAATATTACCAAACATGAATCTGTTTGAGTAAGTAGACAATGTAAATGATGGTATAATAGGATGGAGTAAGTAGACAATGTAAATGATGGTATTATAGGATTGAGTAAGTAGACAATGTAAATGATGGTATTATAGGATGGAGTAAGTAGACAATGTAAATGATGGTATTATAGGATGGAGTAAGTAGACAATGTAAATGATGGTATTATAGGATTGTATGCAGATAATCAAGGAGGAACTTTTACCTTAAAGCTTTGTAATTGCATTAGATGAAGATTGGACAGTTTATTTTTAGTAAAAGGGGGTGATATTATTTGTTATTGAAGGGTGTATATAGTTGTGTGTTGAATAGATATTAGTACATTTTTTATACCATTTATCAGGGTAATTTTCTCTTAGGGTAAATTTTTGCGATAAACTGTCTACCAAAAAAGGGAGAGTTTCCCCAAGTATGTTGAATAGGGATATACAGGGTAACATTTTGAAGTTCTTTAAAAATGGTTAAAAAACATAATGGTTTTTGAAGTAACATATTTTTGAAAACTTCTCTAGTATATCAGTTACTTGTGTAATTTGTTCTACTGATACGATATACATGAGACATTTTCTACCGATACGATATACATGAGACTTGTTCTACCGATACGATATACATGAGACTTGTTCTACCGATACCATATAAATGAGACTTGTTCTACCGATACGATATACATGAGACAAGATCCAACTGAATGGTATGGATGTTGTATCATCATATAAAAAATCATAGATGAGAGGGTGATAGAGCAGATAAAACCCCAGGAAAACATTGTCAACTGAGGTGAAGCAGAGGTTGACAATGTTCTTTAGAGGGGTACCAATCTGCTCTATCGCCCTCTCAGCTATGTGTTATTTAATTTATACTGAATGTTCTATCATTATTGTCTTTTTCTGTTTAGTTTTAAATTGAAAGTACCTAACTATGACGTTACATTCATAACAATGTTACAGTTATTACAAAAACAGCAGAAGTGAAGCAAAATGTATTTTTATTAATTTTGACAGTCTATGATAAGTTCCGAGACCAAAACGTAGATCTTGAGCAATGTCTTTTATTTATCGATGTAAATTCAATTCATTGTCCTTTAAATTATCGATTTTTAATTGGTCTGCAGGAGAGTGATTCAAAAAAATTGTCTCCCGCTGAGCCATGGGACAGAGTAAATTATCTCCCTCATATTAGCCAATCAAAATCTTGCATTTTAACGTGAACTATAATAATGATTTATATCCAATATCTCTTTATTTATTTTCAGCTAAATGAGTGCTCATTAGTTTTGTTTCACCACATTAATTATGATTAATATATTTAAGCATGTTACTTTTGAGCTCTCTTTTTCTTTCATGTAGAATATATATAAATGTATATAGCATTATTATTTTACCACAAATATAAGATACACTTACCTTTTTTTAGGATGTATGCTGTGTTTAGGACGTTCAAACTACTTCAGATTTAACCATCCACAAGAAGCCAAGAAGATCAAAGAAGCATTGCCAAACTGTAGAATTTCCTGTACTCCTATTGACTTTCTTCAAGGTTTGTTTTATAATTACTGAACATCTTTATAATAATAATAATAAGATGTGAACAATAGTCTTTCATCAAAAGGTCAGGAGGCCTCGGTGGCCAAGTGGTCTAAGTCTACTGTATCACTAGCCTGTCAACACTGAGGTTGTGAGTTTGAACCCATGCACATGGCAGGTGTGTTTGACCAATCTCAACTGACTAGGATTCAATTGCCAGTTTTCCTTCTGAAAGTAGGTGGTTCTCTTCTGGCACTCAGGCTTCCTCCACCAATAAAAGCTGGCCACCAAGATATAGCCAATAGTGCTGAAAGTTGTGTTAAACACCAACAATCAATCAATCAATCAAAAGACCATTGTGAGCTTTCCTCTTTACTTGGTGTTCATCAATTTGATGTCAACTTTTGGAACCAACTTGACCACAATCATCTTTATGGTGTATAGTATCAGAATATATCTGATGTTCTTGTCGATCTACCAAAATGGCTGCTGCTACTATTATTTTTAGTAGGATACAGGTGATAAAAAAACTATTTTGATATATTAAAACTTAGAATGTCTGCTTTGATGATTCCATGTCAGAATTTTGTCCTATGATCCCTGACTTTCAACCAAGATGGCCATGATGGCAAAAATAAAATTTTTCCATAAAGTTTTATATTAAAATCTGACTACTAGCTTGGCCTGTTTGTCAGTGTGTATGTTTGTCTGTTTGTCTGTTTGTATGTTTTACTTTGGCTTCATATAATTATGTCACTTATAAAGAAGTTACTGAGACTGTCTTCTTCTCCAAAGACAATTATTTAAAGGGGCTGTATGGCATAGAACTTTAAAAAAAATTATAATGACATCTTAAGTTTTTATATAAGGGTAAAACTTAATACCCCGTAAGAAGTTTTTATAAATAAATTAACACAACTTTAATTATTTAGAATAATACTTTTCAAAGAGGAATAACTTCCGAGTTTTAAAACTATAATAAAAAAAGAAAGATTGTATTATGGTTTGACAAGAGAGTGATACTTTTATAATGTGTAAAGCTTTAAAAAAAAATTAAAGAAATTCATTCAGCAAATTTTTTAAAAATCAAAATTAAAATGCAGTTTAAATGGCTGACCTTTAAAGTTTGCGTAGCAGAATAAATAATGCATTTGTACAATAAATATGTCCTTTTTACAACCAGAATAGAATGTACTGATATTACATCATAGATTACTTAACAAAATTGAATTTAAAATATTCTGTTTACATTTACATATCAAATTAATTGTGATCAAAAATGTGTCTATCTTTACCTTGTATTTGTAACGTATACATTACACAAAATAGTTCACATAATTAATGAAATGAATACATTATTTCTTGATGACATGGTTTTCATCAAACGTTATTAAACTTTAAAGTTCTCATTAATAAAAAAGGCCCCTGGTGAGCCCCAGGTGTATTGAAGTGGATCATAAACATTTAGTAACCTGATTTTTACCTGTGTGTACCTGCTATCATTCATGGATTTTATAACATAGTTTTGCATCCCCCAATTATTTTCTGGATATTTTATTTTCATCATGGAACCTTCAAAATCTGGTAAGATAATTTTTTACCTATAAGTCTAGTTTGGTTGTCATACCTGAACCTCGTTAATCTACAGGTGTGTCGAAATGTACCTCAATCTGGTGTATATATCAAAGGTCTTTGTAATATAACAACTTTGAAACAATTTAATGAAATGTTGAACAAAAAATTAAAAAAAAAAACTCTTTAAAAGACTTACTATTTTATTTAAATTATTTTCTTTTAAAGTTAATAAACAAATATATACACGTAGAGTTCAGTAAGAACTAACTACATGCCTAAACTTTAATCTAGAAATATTTCTGGATTAAGTTTTGTAGATTTATAATGTAGATATAACCTTACTAAGATATCATACGACTCAGGCCTTTATAGACCTGAAACACATGAATGGTCAAAATATATGAACTTTAGATTATAAAGATAAACAAGTTTTTGATTTCCTTATGATGTATACTCAGTATCTATAAGGATTTATCTAGTTGTGTGGTATTCTAGTTTTGTGAATGAATGACTTAGTTAAGCCGTATTGGGTATAAAAGGGGATATACTGTCAATAGCTTTCAACAGTATTGAATAACCAAATGAAGTGGGTCTATGGAAGCTTTCATCTTATTTCTTTAATGCTTTTTCAAGTAATTCAGAACAGGATTAGTCCTAGTTTTAACACAATGATATGAGGGTTTTATCAGTTGTCCCAATCTTATACAACTGTGGATTCATTATTATTCAATTTCATTGAAAACCAATTTTTAGTGGATTTCGTGGATATAGATGAACCACAACTTTAATGTTCAATGAAGTATAAACTTCTCATTGGACTGTGTGCAAACTTTGACAAAACACTAGTATAATCAACAAACATATCATTTTTCTTCAATCCAAGAAAATTAGTACACACTAAAATAAATGAATCCACTGTACTTTTCAAAGGTTAACCAGACTAATTAAAACTTGAGATTTTAATGTGATGCGTTGTTGGATCACTGACAAGTCAACAGACGCTCATTGTCTGGTGTCATCAACATGCATCCAATATGTTTTGTTATTGGATTGCTGAATTGTCTACATATGCCCCATGTGTCTTTTGTTTTCTGTAGGACAAATATTTTTTCTGTCAGCATATACTCTATATCTTTTATTATTATGTTGTAATCTTGTCAATATACTGGCCATTTCTTTCAACTTCTCTTTTGTTGGATTGCTGTCTTACACTCTAAGACCGTTGTTGATGGATTGCTATCATATCAGCATATACTTCATCTCTTTTGTTGTTTTATCACTGAAATGGCAATGTACACTTCACTTTCCACTTTTATTCAAACTTTAGACATGGCTCTAATAGAAGCCTGGATAATTAGGAGAAATTTTGAAAAAGGGTAATTTTAAATATGTATAGGGAGGACGGCAAACAGAAAAATGTATTGCAGCCTTCATTGATTGATATAAATAAAAACAAACTTGGGGTAGGGGTCAGTGAGACAGCAACCTAAGAAAACAAGAAAACCAAGAATGAAAATAAATATGCGTATTGTATATAATGTTAAGCGAAGTATACTATTCTGAATGATGTAAGATTATGAAAATTGAAGACATGAGACATTCCCTAATGTTTGTGTAACTAGTACATAACTGTTTATTCTGCTTTGTTACATGTGTAACGAGTACAGTGCCTTGTTACACGAATGACTAGTGTCATAACAATTTCTACTTTGTTAAATCAACTTTTATGTGAAGATCACAATCAAATATATATAGCCCCTTAGGACCTCACAATATCTTGTTTATAATAATGTATTTAAAATAAATACCTTAAGGGGCAATAGAGAGATCAAATATTGAAGGGTGTGACAATATTATTATTAAATATTGACTTTCCATTATTAATTTCTGACAGGGGCCGAATAACAAATCTATCAAAGGACTTTGTGTTGTAATTATTAATGTAAATTTAACACCTTTATAATAATTATTTAAACGTCCTTTGTTATGCATTAAATTAGTACAGAAGGCAGATTAAATTATGTCTTTGTCATTATCCATGCTGTATAAGTTCTGTGTATGTTTTTATATTGTGTTAAAAATGATGCTTATAAAAAGAATTTTCAAGATTTTTTTCTAAGTAATCAATGCTCTTTTATTTGTGATGTAAACATTCTTTTTTGACAATTAAAACATAATTGTAAACAAATATTTGGTGTAAAACTGGTACAAGGCTTTACTATACTAGTTCTATAGAATGTGCAGGTTACATGTGAAGAGTCACTTTATCAGTTCTGATCTTCATCAGATTAGATATATCGTGACACGTAATTTGTATGTTTGTTCCTTTACCTGACGATCTTAATGGTTGGATTACATGTATTGGATAGAGTACCGTACTTAATCTTCTTCAATTTACTATTTATCTAGTAGGATTACTAGTTTAGGGGTTGAATACCGTACAACAATAACACGGAGACTATTCCTCCTTGCACATCACAGCATGTATATCATTGTGATATGATGTATTATATAATAAGGGAGATAATTTATCACCTTGTCTGATTCCTATCAATGGCATCAATAGTGTCAAATTTATATAGCCTACAGAATAAATGGAATTGTCAAAATTTAAATATTTAATACCACAATGAGGGTATTTGTGATAACCGTTATTATTGTTTTTGTATGACAAAGAAAACTTGAATTTAAAAATGGTAAATAAAAGATAGTAAGACATTTGTTATTGTCATGTGATTTGTAACTGTATACATGTAGTTTATTATCCTATGTCAGATTAATGGCTTAAAGAATAAGATGGATTACAAGTAGAGACTTTTAACAGTTATGCTTACAATTATGTACAATACATGCTATTTAATTACTGGTTAGAATCATGCTGGCAGCAAGTTCATACAGTCTAAATGCAGGAGATTTAAAGATCTTAAGACAAATAAGATCAGGGAATTATATTTTTTTACTAGCTGAAAACTAGAACATAGATTTTAGTACAGTTTTTAACTAATCAGCTGAAAACAAGAACAGAGTGAAGAATTGAGTTATAAATATGTTAGTATAAAGAAGGTTCTGTCCTGTGTCTAGATCAAGTAAACCTTTATAGCCTGCTAAGCGGTATGGGATTTGGTCATTGTTGAAGGCCCTACGGTGACCTATAGTTGCTTACTTTTACGTTATTTGGTCTCTGGTGAAAAGTTGTCTCATTGGCAACCATACCACATCTTCTTAATTTTTGTAACTAAGTACTTCTATGTCTTGTTGTCCATAACTTCAAGAAAAGTCATCTAGGAAAAAATATATTGTTCACAAAAAATATATTTGTTGTCAATCATTATCTTATTGTATGAATAAAAGGAAGAGTAGGATATTCAACAAAGAGATAGTAACTAAATGAAACAAAACTTCAAAGGACATTTACAAGTCAACATATAGTCTCATAGT